CCCCAAAACCCCAAAACCCCAAAACCCCATTTAAGATATGAAGTATAGAAGCAGTAATAATATATTTACCAAATATGGAATCAATTATGTCAAAATTCGAACAGAAGACAAGGATTAGAGCCGAACATGTAAGTCTCCTTAGAAGACACATTGAAGTTTGAACTTAAGATAAAATTTAATGAGATCGACAACTTTCATGCTTAACCATACTTTAGAAAACTCAAAGGCAGCCCAGACATTTTAGTCTCAAGGTAAGTTAGAATAAAGCTGAGTTCAGTACACATCAATGAATCTTCTTGGAAAGTTTTAGATATATAGGGATACTATCATCACTATATGTAAACAAATAATTCTTAAATGTACATAATCGGACTTAACCAGTATTTTTGCATTTATTGGTGAGAGGAATTTACTTAAGCCACCTTGATAGCTTTCTCATTCTTATTCTGTAGAAAAGATTCAAACTGAAGAGCAAGCTTTGAAAAATAAAGAGAAGAGCACTAATGAGTCCAAACCAAAAGAACCTATCCTTTTTCTGTAGGAGAAGAAAAGTATCCAAAATGGTTTCAAAGAATAATTCATTGTAAGGATTAATATCAGCAGTTCGAAAATTCTGTTCTTCTTTCTTGTTTATACTGAATAATTCTTACTTTCATAGTTCAATGGCTTCAAAGGATGCAAGAAAAAGTGTCCAAAAGAGGAGAAAGTTGCCAAAAGTTACATTGGCTCGTCCTTCTGATATATCTGCAAAGAGTCCAGCTCCTAAGCCTAGCATCAACATATTCGACACCGCGGTTGATCAAGTCAATGGAAATAATGAACAGAGGTATATGACTATTATTCAAAAGGTCCAGAATGCAGTTGGTAAAAGACAGTCAGGGTTTAACTCTCCAAATATTCTCAAAAGGTTCTTATCAGGCCAGTCACTCTCCAATACTCAAGGTACTTCACAGTTTCATTTCTCTTGACTTGGTTAATAGGAGTATCCAGCTAGGTTTAAATTAATTCCAGAATTTCTAAACTTTCATAGGCTATGAGAATGAAGACAATGTGTCCCCAAGAGCTAAAGATCTCTTCAGCCTGGACGACATCAGTCAAACCTCCAAGCCATGTACGGCCAAGAACCTGAACTTCAGAGGCAAGCTTATAAAAATTTCCTGCAGAAAGTGGACATAAAGCTTGAAATGTTCTCAATTTACTATATAAAATTTAAGAAAAATTTGTTTGTTTATTTTATAACTGGTTGGCTAATTGGAATCAATGGGCTTAAGGGCATAATTTAAGCATCTCACTACTTCTGGCTCCTGCTCTTTTGAGCATGAGAGGAGACTTTTCTTTGCAAATGAATGACTTAGCTCATCGAATGAGGGTTTGTGTATGTACAAAGCTGTTAAAGGTTGAGCTGAGAATTTTATCTCTTTGAAAATGTTCCATTTTGTTCTTCATAATTAAACCCTAACTCAACTTAACCAAAAATTATAGCTAGTGGAATAAGACAGTTTAGATAACCAGAACCTCTGCTTTATTGCTGAGTGCACTTGAGAGTGCTACCTTAGCCCCAGTAGCTTAATAGGATAGAGATAGATCATTTTATTTGAGGGATGACTAAGCCAGTCTTAATATCCTTGATACAATCTTAGGTGATATTAGTTGGATTTTCTTACTTCAGATTTTTAGATATCACTTTTTGCGGTTTATCAAAGTAAATTATGACTAAAATGAGCTAGAGGTTTATGAATAGCATCAGTTATTCAGATTAGAAAATTTAGGTAATTATAAAGAGTAGATGGAGTGACCAAGTTTATAAATTTTTTCAATTTTGCATAATTTTTCACCAAATTCTACCACAGGACTTCCTTTCTTTAGCATTTTTAAGCTTCCAGTTTTTATAAGAATTAACACAAGCAAAGACTAGTAGCAAGAATATATCCATGGCTGAGTAGATAAAAGCAAATAATTTTTAATAATGGAATTAAATAAGTACTTTAATGATTAATTTGATTATTAGTAGGAAACTCTAGCTCATTTCTTCCATTTTTACATTAAAATCTTAAATTATAGATCTGGGGTTTTGGGGTTTTGGGGTTTTGGGG